GGGGGGGGGGGGGCAGTGTGCTGAGGGTTTTGGACTTCCCAGGCCCTGACATGGGACTCAGAGGACCCCAGCTGACATCTCGTTTCCTGTTCCTTTTTTTTCTTTTTCCTACCAAGTTAAGTATAAAAACAAATACCTTTTGTCTCTCACTGAGCTTTGCTTGGAGGTTAAGACGTCTTCACTTCGAGATTCTGATTTGGGCACGGATTTCCAAAGATCGCTGCTTCAGAGCACTCACTGTAAGACAAGTAACAAAAGCCTTTAATTGCCTGCTTACTCTAATTGCTTTAGATAAGACCTTATCTTTTCCTGTGCCCTGCCAGTTCCAGCCTCTGCAGTTACCTTCTTCACCTCTTTCCAGGATCACTTGATTCTGATTATTTAAAATGCTTCTTTAAGCTTTCTCACTTTTTTTCCCCCCTCTCTGGGTCAAAAGAGGAGGGAAAGGAATATACTCAAAGGTGATTCCTGGTTCCTGTTTTCATTTTCCTGTGTATAAAATGAGAGTCGGATTCCAGCATCCTTCAGGTTCATTCCAGGTAACAGCTGATCTATGTACCCCACAGCTTCCTACCACATTCACTCACCTCTCTCCTGATACCTGAGGGACACAGCTATGACTGAGGCGACTTTACACAGAATAATCAGGTGGATCCATTATTCCGTGACTCTTACTTATAAAGCAGTATAAACAGGCTTCTCTCGCTCATCTTTTTCTTTGAGCCTTAGAAGATATAATTAATTGAAACAGAAGAATTTACAAAACAAACGATGCAGTGGTTTCCTTGCAGGCAATCTTTAATAGACTTCCATTTCCGGTGAACTCCCCAGGTGTTTGTTTTATCATATTTGTTTGTTTTGGATGTGCAGAACTAAAAATATCTGTAGGAGAGGTTTTTAATTATTCAGTTCAATCAGAGGAGTTCTTGAGAAATCCATTGGGAAGGAAGATTAAGAAAGAAGATGGGCTTTGCAGTCAGAGGGACCCGGGTTCTTTTACTAACCTGTTCGACTTTAGATAAGTTACTTAACCTCTCTGAGCCTCTGTTTCTTCATCTGTTAAATGGGAATAATGATTGTCGTCAGAACTAAATGCCAGGTATATATTAAGTACAATACATTTTTGTGTTCTTCCGGACATACCATCTTATTTTGCACTTTGATGACCAAGAGCACAGGTTTGGGACTTAAACAGCCTAGGTTCATTGCCCAGTACCACAATTTTAGTTGCTCTGTGAGTTTGGCCAAGTTATTAAAATACTCTGTTTTCCATCTGTGAAACGGCATCAGTAACAACACTAACCGCACAGGGTTGGGAGGGAGGCATTTAGCACAGTGCCCAGCTCAAAGTAAGCGTTCAGGAAATAGTAGCCAGTAGCGGAAAAAGCAGCAGTCTCAACAGTGAGAATGACACCGGGTCAACAGGCTGCGACACCAGGAAAGGTGAGAGCTGGCTGATGGTGACAACTGAGAGGGCAGCCCGGAGGCCGCTCCAGCCTGCGGAATCAGCTGCTCTTTCTTGCTTTTGCCTTTACTTCTCCCCAGTTTTCTTTCTTTTCTTTTTTTTTAATATATCTTTATTGATTTCAGAGAGAGGAAGGGAGAGGGATAGAGAGATAGAAACATCAATGATGAGAGAGTCACTGATCGGCTGCAGCCCACAACCTGGGCATGTGCCCTGACCGGGAATCGAACCCAGATCGCCTGGATCCTAGGTCAACGCTCAACCGCTGAGCCACGCCCGGCCGGGCTCCCCAGTTTTCTTGATCTTTTCCCTTTGTCTTTTCTCTCTCTCATAGTTTCCACTATGTAAAATACGGTTGCATCCATAGCTGTGTGAAATGTAAGCCAGATGTTGTCTTTTCCTGCCTGGCCTCTGTACTGTCTTGGGCCGGGGGGTGTGTGGGGTGTGTGGGGGGTGTGTGTGTGTGTGTTCCTGCATTTCTACGTCATCTACAGCCCACAGTGAGTGGGTGCTGGACGCAGTGCCATGAATTCTGTCCTGTGCACCCACTGCTTACTAGCTACAGTGCTTGTTCTTAATTTTTGGTTCCTCAGAGAAGAAAAGGCCTAACTGCTAAGAATCCCAGGGGCAAAAGGAACTCTCGGGAAGCACCCCACTTAGAGCCTCTGCGTTTCTTCCCTGTCTGTAAGAGCCCCGTTTGCCTGTTCTGTCTTGTTGCCTCTTGTTTTATCGTGTTAGGATAATAAATTACCCCGGCCTCTCCAACGGGGCGATGCTGCCTGCTTCTCTTTTCACTGAATATTTAGACTGGCGCCAAATGGCTACTTGTTTTTATTTAAGAGTTAAACACCAAATATTTGACACAAATTGGCTTCTCTTCAGGATCTACCAGAAGAGACCTTTGTTTATGAGTTATGCAGTATTATCTGTTATATACATATTATTTATGACATATTTTAATCACTGTTACTGCTGGGGTTTAAAATGTACATGTATGTATGTAGAATATGTGTGTGTATATATAACATTTAGTAATATAGTATTTCACCACAAACTATAGTAGAAAGCAATTTTTTGAGACACGGATGTTTTGAAATATGAGTTCACAATCACTACTAATAAACAACCATTTGAGCTTTCTGGTTGCAACGCACTGCTACCGTATTTCACCTACTTGATGGTCCATCACATAGTCTTGGATTTGAGTTTCTGAACCCTGCCTAGAGTTCCTTACCCTTCCCCCACAGCTGACAGTTTTACCGCAAGGTTACTTAAATGAGAAACCAACAACAAAGGCCTGAGG